TTCATATCCTGTGTGGAAAGAAAAACATGGAAAGCATTTTTTATTTTATAGTGCATAATAAATGTCCACATTTCAAAAAAGTCATGCACATTATTTGTGAATTACAACCCTGTCCTGTGTACACATACAATCCAGAGACCATCCACAGGAACTTTAGAGTGAAAATCTCTGATGCAGTCTTCCCACCATTGTCTGGTGTCTGGGTTCGTGAAGTCAGGAAAGGCTGTTGGGCCTGGCCAAACCTGTGTATACAGAATATGACAACCCCACATTTTCAGATTTAAAAAAAAATACTACATACATATTGCCCCCCATCCACCCACCCCGACCCTATCTCACCTTCCCTATCAGGATTTGCCCTGTAGCGTTTTTGATAAAGACATCTCTTTTAAGTCCATCATCAAAGGGAGGGTACGTTCCTGGGGTGCTGCTGCTGCTTATCCCTGGGTCCTGTAGCATAAATGAGGAGCCTCAGTCAAAAGTTAGGACATTTTTGCTGCCCTCCACTGGAAAAATATGGTTAATACCTAATTTTAGCTCCAGTGAAAGCAAGAAAGAATGCTTTGTTTGCATCAACTTCAAATGCAAATGTATATATGTATATAGTAGTTTGTCAGGTCTTTTAAACACAAAGATGTCACACCAGAATAAGGATGTACTTCATGCCTCTCTTGTGAAACTCCTCCACCATTTCTGGCAGATCCCCGAATCTCCAGGGGTCAAAGGTGAATACCCTTCGCTTGTTTGCGTAATCCAGGTCATTCCATTGTACATCCTGTTGGTGAAAACGCTTAAATATTCTCAGGAAAAAAGTAGTTTAATGAAGACTCCAGCTGCCACATAAAATCAGTGAGTGGCTAAGACTTCTAAAGATATTTTCATTCAGTTAGACAGTTTGGCGCATCAGCCACCTTATAAACAAGTAAATAAAAAAGTAAACATTAAAATCATAAACATGAAAAACTGAGGACAAAGTGCCTTCAATTCATTTTTTAACTATCATTAGAGTTACTGTTGTTACACATGTTATCAATCTGAAATGAAATTTTAGAATGAAAAATAAAATTTTGAATACTTTCTTAAACAAATGTATAAAGCAAATGCACAGATGGAGAATCTTCTATGAATTTCATACCATCGGAAAGTTTTCATCATGCATGCTTTGTGCAACCTTTCGGGTCGTATTAGTGGTCGTGTAACCCCAGCGGCACAGATGAAAGCCCAGCGACCAATAAGAAGGCATCATAGGATAGCCTGGGGACAGATAAATGATAACTTTGAAACACATAAATGCATTCCTTCTTTTTCTGATGCCTCAGGACTCGTTCAAATGCACAAACGCTCACATGCTTTTACCAATCTACTATTTTCAAACTTCACATCTCTTGTAGTAAGTATACATGCTTATTACTGCATGGAAATGTGTTAGTGAATGTCAGCCAGACAATCATGCTGCATACCAATGATCTGAAGGTACTGTCGTATAACACTTTGAGGGTCAGGACCCAAGAAAATGTAGAGATCCAGGATTCCACCGGTGGACACCCAGGTGAGAGCAGGGGTCGGCTGTAGAATCACCTCTACAGAAACATTTGGGAAGTCAGTGAAATGGCATCAGATCCTAGAATCTGTTCTATGGAAAGTGAATTCAAAAATGTGGGATGTTGGATCAGAGAGCTCAGTACCAATTGCATTGCTATTTAGAAGGAAAACTCCATGTGCTAAGCCATCCTCTTCCTGTACTATGTAAAATGGGTGGGAGCCATAGAGGTTGGCATCAGCCTGTGTGGAAAGACAGTGTCAACAGCATAAAGAAAGCTTACAAAAGACTGTTTAATATGAATGCCTGCTGCCAGACGTATAGTCTAAATCGTTTGAGTATCTGTCCAGAAGGGGGCGCTCCTAACCTTTGAGTTTGACGACTGTTATTGAACCACTGCAATAGACTCACATGAGGTGCCATGTCTCTATTCCAGAGAGTCAGGGAAGTCCAGTTTAGATCCAAGAGGAGTGAGGTGTAATGTTCCCCAAGGCCAGACACAAAAGAAGAGGCCAGTGTGGTAGACAGCTGCAGGTACTGGTCAGCAAACAGCAGAGGAGCAACTGTGGTGTTCATACTAAACAGGCAGAGGATGTGTACAAACAAAAAATAAAGTGATTTAAACGTATAAGTGAAATGAAAAAACTACCAGCACAGAATGATAAATATGAAGAGAGATAATAGAGCAAATATGAACAAGCTGACTAAATAAGAGTAAGTTATTGATAGACACTATGATGAAACTCACTATATAGTCCATCCTTAAATACATTAAAAATGAAGTGAACTACTCACATTACCCTTCCATTGGATTTTCGTCGCACTATAAAGCCAAATGGGTCAGACTGGTATTCAGTGGTATAGAGGACACTCTGTGTATTGGCTTTGCTCTGAGGAACACCGCCTGGCAGATGAACTTCATACCGCTGAGATGATGGGTCCTTTAACTTCATAGAAAAAAAAAGTTTGATAACTATTTTTCTTTGAAATGACAAAGTATGTAAAATAATAGAGGGTCTAATACTCAGGTTTTTCTCAAACTGTGCTGCCTGTCCTACTGGTGGGACTCTTTATTTGTGTATTTCATTTGAAAATTACTGGAAAAGTCAGCATAAATATTCATTCCTGGGTTAATTCAAGGACATTCAAGACAAACATGCTTTTATAAAATAGATTTGTTGGACTATTTCAAACATAAAAATAAAGCAGAATAAAATTAAAATATTATCCTTGACTGTGTTGTCTTGATCACATGTTTGGGGATGAATGCTTACTGTGAGGTGGAAACAGTCTGCTGTCTCTTGTATGTCATCTAGTCTTAGAGTGGAGATATCTTTGGGGAGGTAGGAGGGGCTGGCAAGAGTCAGTGAGGCACCCTGACCCCGAGGAGTAGGTATGAGGGGTCCCATTTTATAGCCAGGATACACACGGGGGTAAAAACACCAGGGTGGTCCTGCGGAGTCAGGCAGAGGGGCGTAGCAGCATCCTCTGTCCTCACACTCGCTCTGGCTGAGCAGTTTGTCCCTGCCACAGTCAAACCGACTCTCTGGGGCCATGGCGCATTCACTGCCTGTGGAAATATTACATTTCTGGGATCTTTCAGGGTGTATACCCCGACTTGAATTGTTCTGTGGCTTTGCGCGATTATAAGCAAGCCGTCCATGTACCGTGATGTCATGTTGCTCATCCCGAACTGACCCAATCTGTCGTCGGGCTTCACTGGTGAAAAAGCGGTTCATGAACAAACAAGCTAATAAAGAAAATGCGAAGAGGAGCACGGCTACAGTGAAGTGAGACAACAAACCCATCGTGCATTGCTCAGTCTAAGGATCCTTAAATGAACTTTGCGCTGTCTTCATGAAAATATTCAGTGGTAGTAGGGTATGTAGTAGGTCATGTAGCTACATGTAGCAGTCCCAGCCCGGTGTCGAGCGGTTATCTGTTCCCTCTAATCGAGTTATCCGCATTGTCGGAAAATAGACATTGTTGTGAAGTTGCGACACATTAAATTAAGACGTCTACAGTGAATTAGGTTAACCATTAATAGCAAAAACATGCTTTCCGAAAACTTAGCAAAAACATCAACATGAAGGCTAACGCTAAAAACTAGGGCAAGCATACTGGGACAAAAGTGATCAAAATAGCAACAGGTTTGTTGAGAATTAAAGAAACAATATCAAAAAATTATTTTATCAGAAGAGTACACACTTAGAGATAGTTTAGATGAAAAACAGAAACCAGATGGTTATCTTTTATTATTAAAAACATTAATTATATTTCATAAAATAATTATAACTTACCCCCAAATCTGATTTCTGTATTGTGCGAATGAGCAGTGGCAGTTACAACTCCAGTTCCAAAAAATAGGGACATTATTTAAAATGTGTATAAAAACAAAGTTTAATGATTTGCAAATCTCATAAACTCATATTTTATTCACAATAAAACATAGAAAACAAAATAAATATTTAGATTAGAATAATATAATGGGCACAACACAAGTCTTGAAAAGTAAGTGGCACTGAAAAGAGAAAGCTGGAGAAACATTTTGCAGCTAACTAGGTTCACTGGCAGCAGTAACGTGACTAATATAAAAAGAGCATCTCAGAGTTTCTCACAAGTATAGAAACCAGAGATTTACCAGTCTTAAAAACATATCAAAAATTACAGAATAGTGTTCCTCAATGTAGAAAATGGTACTTTGAGTATCTCCTCATCTACAATACATAATATCAAAAGATTTGGAGAATCTGGAGAAATCCCTATGTGGTAGAGATTTCTCTTTATATTTTACTGTCCCAACTTTTTTGGCATTGGGTTTTCTCGTCAAAGGAGCATAGCTGGTTTTTATTTCACTTTTCATTTTCATATTGATATGCACAGACTATGTGACCAATTTAAGACTATTCTGTACACGAATTATCTGAATGATCAAGCCTGTGATGTAATGGCATTGTCCCATTAAGTCTGCATTATTAGGTGATATTTGTTCCACTGTGAAGTCATTCTTTTAGTTTGAGCAGAACTGTTGAAGCTTAAACTGAAAAAAGAAGTTTAATGTATTTAGTTCATTATTATTATTTTTATATATTGTAAGGACATAAAAATGCAAAATCTTAAAAGAAAGATGCTCATGAATTTACTAATTTGCACTTTTATCTAAAGAATAGTTTTCTAAGTAAAGTTAACATCTGTGGATTATCTATTATAATTAAATAGTAGCAACTTAAACATTAAATAGTTAATTACACTACCATACAAAAGTTTTAGAACACCCCAATTTTTCCCATTTTTTAAATGAAAATAATGCAGTTTAATGTCACATTAAACTCTGAAATGAAAGCATGGCACAAATAAGCAAAAGTTATTGGAGTTAAAAAAGAAATCATAGAATTAAATTAATAGACCAAAATGTATTCTAAACATTTGACTCAAAGTAGCCACCTCTGGCACGTAAAATAGCTGAACACACCTGTGGCAAATTTTAAATGGAAAAAGAGTTTAATGTATTCAATTTTTTTTCTTTTTCTTTACATATTTCAAGAAAACTTGACAGCTGTTCTGAATGGTTCAATCCATTCCCACTGCCCAGAAAAAAATGGGCGTAAAACCTTCTCTTCCGCTGAGGAATGTCTTTCATCTTGGTCCACTAACCTTTGTCAAGGTGTTCAACTGCTGATTGCACAGTTTGATTATTTTCTCCAGATGCAGCAGCGTCATTTTCTTTAGAGGAGCCACCCTGGCTTTAGATGCAACCAAGCTATTATTATTGTTTCTTCTTCTTGTTTTTTGCCTAGCAGATAGGCCACAGTGCTGTATGCCTTTTCACTGGCATCACATTTCACTGGCATGTAGTTCCAATGCATCATTGTTCACTGGCATGTAGTTCCAATGCATCATTGTTTTCTTGTTGCATGTTGGTTTGGTACCACCTTGGTATGGTGAGCCGATGTAACTGAGTGAGTTCTAACACCACCGTTGCCATTCTTGGGCCACATCTGGTGGCAATTCTTCATCCCTGGAGAGTCCGCTCTCCCACAATTCTTAGAACATGTGCTTGACCATAATCGTGAAGGGTTTCAGAAACCCAAGCAGATCATAAATGTGTGCTGAGGACTGCAGTACACTTATTTTGGTTCCTTTCTTTTCTGTTAGAAGCCTCACTAGTGCCCTAAGATCAAAAGTGTCCCTCTGGCCTCCCCAAGTACCTTTAATGCTATTCCATTTGTCTCAGGTGCCAATAAGTAGGTTCTCTCCTCCCATTTCTGCATCAGTTCGGCTGAGTTTGTCGTCCATTTGTAGAGGTCCATAGCAGCAGCTGCCAGTATTTCTTTGACATTTGTTGTTGTATGATACCCTCTTCAACTGAACGTGTACTTGAAATGAAGTCATCTACGTAAAGTGACTCCGTTATTGTATTCACAACTTGTGGTTGGTTTGTTTCATATTGTTTAAGATGTCTAACTCCAAACACCACTCTTGTCATCCTCTGAATGCACAGTTGTTCATTCACTTCTCCTTTCAGTACACCTGAGAACCACAAGAACCTCGTCCTTTTCTGCAAGATGTATTTGCAGGAATGCTTGTTTTACATCTGCTAGAAAGGCAATTTTATGTTCCCTAATTCTAATGTGAACACTGAGCAGCACAAATTTGGCCCTGTAAATAAGCAGTCATTCAGTGATGGACAGCCTTCTTCATGGGACCACGCATCAAAAACCACTCTTAATTTGGTGGTTTTGTCCTCTCTGAGCACTGCATGGTGAGGCGTATAGTACATAGAGAAAACCTATTTTCAGTTTTTTGTGGAGTGTATGGTTTTGTCATCTGCAGCACTCTTTCCTTGCTGTGAACCTCCTTCTGTAGGAATGTGACTATTTCCAAAACTTTCCACTCTTCATCTTCATTTCTCTGATGGCTCAAGAGCTATATCATCTGGAATCATCTGGAATCATCTTTATCAGTATTGGGCATAACAAGCTCCTGTAGCTTTCTGACACTACACTCAATGACTCTAAACTTCTGATCTGAATTTCACATTCATCATATAGCTGCCTCCGAGCATGCACATCAGAGGATTTTTAACAGGGGTGAGGTTCAGCAGTTTTGACATGTGTGCACTGATTACTACATCATTTCTTCCAAACTGATTTTGCAGTAACTCAATTGCATTGTCATAATCAAGTAACGCGTTACTGCCCATCTCTGGTAAGGAGGTTATGATCTACTTTGTCAGCAGTTTCCACGTCTGAAACAATGGCTGGAGAGCAGATTCCCTAAAAATTCTTCAAAGATCTGGAGTTTTGCATGTACTCAAGCAAAGCCCCTACTATACTACTCCCTTTTTGTTTTTTCTAAGATAGTTAACTACTCAAAGGTGAAAGGTTCTTCATATTACTTTTGCATTTAAGCATCATGCAATAGACAATTAAAACTTTTTACATACTTCATGAGTTATTGGTCCCACACCCTCTAATGTAATGGAAGTTCATCTTCCAGTTAAGTCTACATTAAGGCTGACAGCTGTTCCAATGTTAAATCGTAATTTTATTTTACCTGCCCCTGTCATATACCTGCCCCTTTGTGTCAAGTATATAGGAGTTGTTGGGCAGCTGTTTAGCTGCTGTCTCTGCCCAGTGTTTAGCTTCTTCTAACTTTTCATAAGTGTAATGAAGACGAGCAAGTTGTTGTGCAAAGAATGGATCATTATGGAAACGCTGGAACGCTTCTATGAGCAACTCAATTGCTTTTTGTGGGTTTTTTTCTTTTTCACGCACATGTTCCATGAGAGGAGAGAAAAGGCTATCATATTTATCTCCTTTGCTTATCCTGGATCTCCGAATGAAAAGTTGTCTCAAAAATGTGTGATACTCATCCCTTCCAAATCTGTGCTCGAAGAGCACATTCTCGTTGAGCAATTCCATTGCCAAGCTGCTTTGGGTTTGTTGAGGATCCAGAAGTTGTTGAAGAATTTCTTTTGCAACAAGTGGGTGGATGATTCTGATTGATTCAATGTGTGTCTTGTCATCTCGAAGGTGTAAGAAGACTAGTTTAGCCTGATCGCTGAGGGATCTCTCAAACTCGTGCTGGCGAAACCTCTCCAAGTGAATGGTTAAGGCGAGCAAAGCTTCACAGTGCGATTGAGAGATGAAAGAGTTTTGAACATATGTGTTCAGCAATGCTACATAGTTAATGAGTCGAGTGACAATAGAGTGGTGGTCAATGTCTTTGAGCAGATTTTTCACAAACTGATGAACATAATCTTCATTGAATCCTTCACTCATCAAAACAAATGTCAGAATGAATTTGGGTTCATATTGTTCTTCGAGTTCCTGCCGTTTTCCAGCAAACTTTCTCTTTTCCTGATCAGATAGTTTATGAGTGACAGACACATTTTGTAAAGGAGACTCCTTGCATTTTTTCTCTGGATCATGGGAACGTCTGCAGCTCAGCAAAATGAAGCAGAGGGTGCCATACTGGATTTGCTTAACATTAATGGCAACCTCTAATTCATTCCTGAGATCATCTAGATATTCTTTGTCTGAGTCTTCAATGAGGAGCAGCACAGGAAGACATCTCTGTGGATCCTTTTCTTCATATTCTCTTAGTTCAACTGCATGTTGTGCAACAACAGAAACTGGATATGAGGGCTTCACAACCGCACACCTTAGACTTTTTCTGTTGTTCCACAGCACTTGTCTTTCCACAGTGCTTCCACCACTTCCTGGGTGATGGTAGATGTTTATGATATTCCCTGGAGTCTGGTCTGCATTATATTTCAAGGCATCTTTGAGAAGTTTGGAAGTATTGTGATAAGCATCTCTTTCAATGACCTCTCCAGCATATTTGTTCTCAGCAAGCCAGAAATTCAACCAGGTCACTCTCCCACCACGGTAGAACTGGTGTTCAATGTTTTCTTTTTCCTCATTGATGAAGTCTTTGCTTGTTTCATTACAATGATTAACTGTCAGAATCTCCAGCGAGTACATCTGTTCCTCTACTTGTGTTTCAAGAAGACATGTCCCTCCCACAAAGACCGGCAAGTGTTTGGTGACACACACTTTTACAGGTTGTATATGTTGCAGGGTTGCATTAATGTGACTCATTTTCATTCCAACAACACTGGAATTGTCTAAAGCGTCTTTCCCACATGAACCCTCTGCAAAGCTTTGCCATTTCTGGAAGGTTTTCTCTGATTCACAGATGCAGATGATGTCTTCATGACCTTCCATGTCTGTGAAAAACTCATAGAAGGTGTGCAAGAGTGGTTTCTCAACTGGTGATGTTAACAGAAATATGACGTGGAATGTACCTTTTGGTAAAACCTCTTTACAGATCAAAGACACAGACTCTCGGAGTAAAGTCATTTTTGTTTTGATCCAAGTCATTTCGTCACATGGAGTTTCATTTCCTTTGAAGTCAGTCCGCCCATTGCAAAAGATCCAACTAGTTTGGTCAAACAAATGCAGGTGGTTTGTGAATTCTTTGATGGTTGTGCCAGGAGATATTTTGTAGCTCTGCAGGAAATGCATGTTTGCGGCATGGTGCTCAAGGTATCTACTGCAAAGACCTGATATCTTTGAGTCTGGGTCAAAGTCGAACACGCAGAACATATTCATGTTAATCAGCCAGTCGATGTTGGAAAGGTCATCAGGTTTGAATTTGTTTGTTACGAGTATGAACCATTTTTCCTTTTCAATGAATTTCTTACCACTGGTCATCAGCATGGTGAGTTTCCTTCCAAGGTCTTGACACATTTCTGGAGCAATAAGGAAATGATTTTTTTCTGCTTCTTCTCTTTGAGCATCACGATCTTTGACTCTTTGGTAAAAGTCACTTAGGTCCTTGTCACTCACTGGCTCCGTTTTTGAACCTACTCTTCGCAAAATCGTCTCTTTCTCAAACTCTACTTTGTTTGTTGATTCTTTGAAATTTGGCAGACGAACTGCATACAATTTGCCCTTGACAATACTTATTGATGGCACAATGTCAACCTCTACCACATATCGTTTTTCTGTACTTTGTCGATCCATGACCTCAATGAACCTTGGCGGTCGCACACACTGGCGTATGTGCTCTTTGTCAGAGGAGAAACTCCTTTCAATGTAGTCCAAAGCATCGACATAAATATCCTTGTTTGCTACAGGTATACCAATTATCTCGCCATGCACATATCCTCCATCCTCCTTGCTGTCCATCACACCAAAGTGTATTGTGCCATTTGATCTGATATTCATACAACCAGTTGCAAATTTAAGAACTTCTTTGGCAAACTTAGCTTGGAGTCTTGTGCGATCCAATGTAGCAGCTAGAGCAAAGGACTTAAATTCATGGCATGGCGATATCAGATTAAAAGCACCTGATTCAGGCTGCAGGATGCTGTGTTTTACATATAAGAAATCAATCCCTTCTTGATCGAATGG